GTTGATTTTATTTGGTTAACGTATTCAATTTCGTTCAAGAAAGAAGTATTAAGTTTCCAAAAGCCTGGTCCTCTTGGATTCGAATGAACAGCTATACTGATATCGATCATTGAGTGGTCTGTTTTGTATCCTGTCATTTGTCATCCTGTACCCTGTCCTGGGTGTACGAATTAACCAAGTAGGGGTTGGTCCACGCAACAAAAAATCTTCCTGAACCTCTTGATCCGTGAAACAAAGACTGGGCCCACCTCAAATGTTTTATGCAGTTTAACATTAAATGTCAGAACTTATAGAATCTTTTTAGGAAGGAGCATCTGCATGTGCTTAATGGAGGATGGACTTTGTACAAGGAACTAAGTATCAGAAGTGACGAAGAAAGGGGATGGTCCAGACATAGAATGAGATCGACTTTAATAGTGTATTATCAATTTTTTTATCCACAGAAAAGTCGCTCTTGGAAGGCCAGCATGGCCATGTTTTTTGTGATATGATAAGTAATAATTGAAAGTTGTCTTTTCGTTTTTGATGTTTTTTTTTTCAGTGAATCTATTAATGAATTTATGAGTTGAGCTTCAGCCTTTAGCGTGCTCGAAAGGTTAAGAACTAAAAGAAACGCCGAACGTTTTTGACTAATGAAGTCTTCTTCTAGGTGAAAGACTGTCTGCGGATGTATTTTTTATATGTTTAGGTGATTTCTGATGGGTACAGTTTCGCCATGGAAGAATGGATGTGTTTGTTAAACTGGGGTGCCATCGTTGGATCCTCAGTCCTTCAATGATTCTACGCTTGTAATAAGATTGGGCCATACACAGTATTTGCCAACTGAAAGGATGGGACGGGTTCTCTCTAGTCTGTTTCAGGCATTTGGTCAGTGGAGAAGATCGAAAAAGCGGGTGAGCGACGAGCATGGGTCTTTGAGAGAAAAAGCTCGTCGCTGATCCCGCTCGTCGTCCGCCCGCTTTTTGATCGCCCCAAAATTTTACTAGAAAACGTTTTACTTGTCAGTGGAACAACTGAAGGACAGAAACCACTCGCAAAATTCCATTAGTCCCGGCTATCGGACACTTTGGAAGCTTACGCCGGCTGTCAAGTGAGATGAAATTAATCCAAGGTTTAAACCAAAATAGCAAAAAATGTAGGTACAGCTTCTTGTAAACTTGTAGACAATGTCATAATATGTTTGTGTATTTTAAATCTGCGTTTTAGTAAGCTTGTACTAACTGCCATTTCTTTTGTGCTTTGATAGGATTTACAGCTTCTCGTTTCCGTCAAACAAGCTCGTCCCAGTGGTGTCTGGAGTCTTCAGGCGGGAAAAGCTTTATCTTTCTTGATTTTCCTCTTAAAATAGTTTGAAGGAAAATTGAATATTCTGATGAAAATGACTACAAAGAGAAATTTGCATTCCCTTGATAGGTAATAAATCAAACACGAGAGACAGTGTTTCATCGAGGTATCCAAACACCGAGAAGAGAGTTGAAAATACGTCGCGCAGCGGAGTATTTTTGACGAAATTCGAGGTGTTTGGATAGCTGATGAATCACTGTCTCGAAAGTTTGGTATATTCTCTCAATCGAAACAAAAACTAAGGAGTAAACGTAGAAGTAAAATTGGTAATTAAGATCGGGTATCCAACCTCCTTCGCGGTTGTGATTTTCTTTGTTTTAACTTGATGAATTATTAATGAGTTCGAGAAAAACACATCAAAGTCGATTATTTTGAATTAAAGATAATTGATAACTGAAAATGTGGTGTGTCGTGTGTCCCTCCAAAAAACTGCCACTTCATACGGTAATATCATGTGTTTGCCCGATGCACGGAAAAGAAACATGTTTAGACTTCAGTACACTCTCCTGCATTCAGTTTGTGAAATACATGCCCCATCCCGGGCCTTGGTCGTAGGCAGCCGAAAAACGCGTTCTGGATAGCGTTAAAGTGATATTGTAACGTTGTACAGTGGAACCCCGATTTTTCGAACCTGCAAGGGAAACCGAAGATTGGTTCGAAAAATCGGAAATAAAATTACTGTGTTCGACTGAGGAGAGGGAAACTACTTTTGGTTCGAGTTATTGGGAGGTTCGAAAACATGAGGGTTCGAGAAATCGGGATTGCACTGTATGTATTTTCACGTTTCTTTGCCCGTTTTCAATCCGGATTATCTTAATCGCATTCACATGCGTATTTTCTTCGCCACGGAGTCGAACCCTGCCTGACCAAAAAATGAGTAAAAATAAGAGGTACCATTTAAGATAAAATGAAAAAAAGAACATATATAAAAATACTTAAATATGATAAAAGTTACGTGAAGCAAAACAAGTAAATAGCTACACAGAACAACCAACTTAATTTGACCGCGAAGCGAAATGGAAAATCTTGAAATTCTTCCGTGATGTATATACCACAAGGAGCAGGAACTTAAGGAACCATAAAAATATTGCCTTTCTTCCTTATTCACATGCTCATTTATTTATGATATACCACAAGGACCAGGAACTTAAAAAACCATAAACTAATTTGCTTTCGTTCCTACTGCGCATGCGCCTTTGTTTATGATGTACCACAAGGAGCAGGAAGTTAAGGAACTATAGGACAGATTTCTTTTTATGGACGTGGCGGTGGGGGTTACGTTAAAAAAAGTTTAAAAGTTACTATTACTACTATTACTACTACTTCTTTAACACTACTACACACAAAAACAGACAGTTTTTGGACACACAAAAAAATAGTATTTTGGACAGTTTTCAGATACTACCTTCCCAAACCCCCGCCGCCACCCTAAAAATTCAAATTCTTTACTATCAAACAAAGTTTGCAATCCTTATGGTACTCAAGTATTAAATGCGCATGCGTAGTAATAATAACGTGCTGGAACGAAATAGGCCACTTTTTAATAGTACTTGAATCAAGAAAGGTCAATCTCGAAATGAGTGAAAAATCCAGATGGGATCCGTCCACCGTCCCCCGTCCCCCACCACTCACCCAACAAAAACGACGTCCATTTCAACTTCATATCGTTCTTATCCTTGCGGTACGCTTTCCACGAATACGCATGCGTGTGAGTGTGAGCCACCTTGTGAGGACTCTTTCAATTCTCTATTTACCTCTTTCGTTGTGGTATATTTTTAAAGTTTACGCAGTAAATTTTCGTCATCATTGTGCGTGATACCATTGGCTTAGAAAATTTCGTATTGTCTTTCAGCCAGTCATAATCTTGAATTATGTGTAATTTGCACTGGTATTACACTTGAACTGCACTGCTCTCAGTCAATCAGAATCGTGTAATTTTTTCATGTATATTATGTTAACAATTGTATCCTTGTGGTAAATTTTTAACAAATCCGCATGCGTATTGTAACAGTGCGAACCTGCTTACTAATCTTTCAATCCATTTTGTTCATCCTAAAGATTCTTATACTTGTGATCTCTCACAAATGTGCAATCGTACTGAAAGAGTGAACCATTCTGACAACGTTTTATATCAAGACAAATCCGCCCATTCTCTAACATATCTTTGGTGTTTCGAGATACTGCCCAAAACTGATCATTGTCTCTCATATCCCCACATAAAGAGAACAGAGGCAACTATAGAGGCAATGAATTAAATATCTTCAAGATTTTTATTTGAATCCATTACAAAGCGTTACCGGAGACAACTTTGAAATAATTTAAAAGTGTATTTAAATTACAAAGAATACCAATCTGTGCTCATAAAAGGTAGTTATACTCTAATCACCCTGAAACGATTATAAAATATTTTGTAACTAATCTTAATAAACACAAACACAGCATCAGGGGCGGGCATCTCGTTTATTGATGSAGGATACAGCGAGCGTTACATCATCATAAAGAAAATACAGCAGTGAATAAACAGAAAAATTAAAAAGCAAAGTTGAAAGAGATGCCTTCGAGTGGCTCTTGCATAGCTTACAAATTCTTAAATAGCCTACTAGCCCCTTAGGGATTCACGCCTAAAATACTTCTACAGTTAACACGAACCATACATAGTGAACATACTCCAGTGTAATTAGCGAAACGTTACAAAATATATTTGTGATAAGGTGATACCGGATTTACTGTGACCAAAGAGTGGTGTATAGGTTTTTCATCCGTGAACGCAAAAAAAAGCCAAACACCCAGTCAGACTCATTTGCACTTAAGTCTTTGTTTGAACAAAACACCGGTAATTAACTTTACCATTGCTCATTTATTCGCATTCAACTATTTGACACAAGGTCCGGTAATACGGGCAACATTTTTCGTCAACTTGTCTCGCAACATTGTTGCATTGCAAGTTGAAACCCTCTGTTGCACGTATTACCAGTACCACGTTTGTGACCAACTTGTCTCGCAGCGAAGTACAGTGTTGCAAGTCTGCGGAATTCTACACGTATAATTGGTCAGTCGTGTTTAAATAAAGATGGCTCCTTCTTTCATATAATTTAGCATTTCGACGAACTTCCACTTCGACTTCTGGGCGTCATTTTATTCTTAATTTTCAGTGCCAGCGAAGTTCTCTCAGTGTGAAGCTAGCCGAAAAGTTGTATTTTTGCGATAGTTCTTCCAAGCCTTTTGTCTTTTTTGCTGCTTGTTTTGAAGGGACAAACGAGGTGTCCCAAAGACTATGATAGCCATCGAGGTCTTTCTACAGGGCAAATTTATGACTTTCCGAGAGTTACTGGTCTACTTCTAATTCAGGCTCGTCTTCACCGTCCGCCATGTTTATTTTTTATTTCCCGCGCTTCGTGACAGCCAATTAGAAGCGTTGAATTCAAATTTGTTGCGAGACAAGTTGTAGCTTCACTGGTAATACGAGCAGCAAAACAAAAATTTGTTGCAGAAAGTAGAATTCGAGTCTACTTTGCGCAACATGTTGCCTCAACCTGCAACACTGTGTTTTGCTGCGAGACAAGTTGGTCACAAACGTGGTAATACGTGCAACAGAGGGTTTCAACTTACAATGCAACACTGTTGCGAGACAAGTTGAAGAAAAATGATGCCCGTATTACCAGACCTATAGTCATTGTTTATTTATTCACATGGAACAACTGACCCTTTTTCGGTATATATTAACGTAATTTTGTTCTATTTCTCCACTTAAATTCTAGCGAGATGATATGGAAGCGTTGTGTAATTTCGCTTATTTCTTTGTTTATCTTAAACAAATTTTATTGAAAAAGAAAAAGTTTGCGAAACATAAGCTGAATCAAATGGCAAACTGTTTGCCATTAGTAGCAAAATGTTTCCTAAGACGTTAACAGCAAACATCGCGCACTTTTCTAACTTAAAATCACATCGTTACTGTCCTGTGCTTTGCTGCTGTTATGGACAAGGAGTAGAAATACTCCTAGAAACTGGCCCCGGCTGTTTCGGCCGCTTGGCTTGACACGGACTTTACTTCACATAAATTGTCAATTCTCAAAGAAACTTATAACTAGGAAGCTGAACTTTTAACGGGTATAAATATAAAGAAAACTATTTCGCCGAAGTTTAAACAGCACCAACTCAGATGATTCTCTCTGAAGTCGTCTTCCCGTACTCGTGTGATGACCTAAAAGAAAGGAGTTCCAAACATCAATACATAAATAAAAATAAAATAATAAATACTATTGAATTCCCAGTTACACAGCTTTTAGCTACAAATTGCGAATCTTTCAGCTAGAGATTCCAGAGCTTTGAGGGAGAAATTGCGCCGCTTTTACCCAGACAATAGGGAATTTACGCAAAACACGACGGCAACGGCAACGAGAACGTCACCAAACAAAAGGTTTAATAAGCAGAACAATGGCTGTGCACGTGCACTATAATTCTTGGTACATTTCTTTGCCGTCCTTTGTAAAACAGCAACGTGAAATGACCATATTCTGCTTTGTCTGGAGAACGTGAACCACAACGGCTAATTTTTCGTATTTCTATTTGGAACTGAACGCATTCGTAGCATATTCAGCCGGAGCAAGTTTCAATACCGACAGACACACTGGACAGTTCCAAATAAATGCGAAATTCCAAGGTAAAATAGAACCACATTTTTTACTTGGCGTCGTCCTCGCCGTCGCCGTCGCCGTCGCATATGCGTAAGGTCCCTAATAGGGAGCCTAAGAACCACGACGGCGACGCCGAGGACAACGTCGATTAAAAAATGAGTTTATATTTTACCCACGAACCTCGCGTTACCCTAAAGTCATTTACTTTGCTTATCACTGACAAAGCTATCACGAAACTGAATCCAGAACATATCGATAAATTCGAAATAAAGAATTTAAAAATTAGCCGTCGTGGTCCACGTTCTCTGGACAACGCAGAATTTGGTCATTTCACGTTGTTGTTTTGCAAAGGACGGCAAAGAAATGTACCAAGAATTATAACGCACGTGCACAGCCATTGTTCTCCTCATAAAACCTTTTGTTTAGCGACGTTGCCGTTGCCGTCGTGGTTTTCTTAAGCCTCCTATTGAACAGTCCTTAGCTGGTCAATTGCGTATCTTTTGTACATCTTCGGCTAAAAATTACACGGCTTCACCTATCAATTGCGCATCCTTCGGCTAGAAAGTGTACATTACTTGGCTATAAATTACACAACCTTAGCTGGAAATTGTATATCTTTTGCCAAGATAATGTACGGTTTTTGGCTAAAAAATGGCAGGATTTTCCTAGAAATCGCGTATCTTTTAGCAAGAAACTGCGCAGACTGAATTAGACAAGAAAATGGCTCAACGCTTAGCACTTTTTAAGTTGGAAACTGTTCAATTGCTAGTTAACAGCTACACAACGTCTTTGATTCAAACACTGCCAGTGCTGCACAAGATTTCGTAACTTTTAAATAGAAATTGTACAGCTGCGAATGGTGCAGTTTTTGGCAATGAACCTAGTGTGTTATACAAAAAAAAATTTCGTAGTTTTAGAAGACATTGCGCAATTTTGAGAACATTTTGTCAACTTTTACATGATTGAAATTGGCCGTAAGAAATTACGTACCTTATATCTGAAAATGACGTATATTTTAGTGACCTTTTAGCCAGCATTGTGCATTTGGAGGAAATATAAATAAATAAATAAATATACATTTATATAGCACCATTTTCCACTAATTGTCCATGGCGCTTTACAATACTTTAAAATTAAAATCCTAAGTTTAAAATCCTAAAATTAAAATCCTAATCCTTTAAAAAACCTAAAATCCTAAATCCTAGAAGTTAATATCCTAAGAATTAAATACGCTATATAATACAATTAGGCTACAAATAAAAAGTAAAACTACAAATCAAATGCACGCTTAAAAAGATAAGTCTTAAGATTAGCCTTAAAAACTGCCTCTGATGATGAAAGTCTGATCTGGAGGGGTAGTTTGT